CCTCACATGGCCAAACAACAGGTGTGCCACTGGTATCCGGCAGCTAATTTTGACTCCCTTCAGCTGAGCTACCTGAGCACAAGGGTTATCAGTTTGGCTTGATCTGGTTGAACATGGATGTCTTCCTATTTCCCCATTTTGCCACGTGAAGAGCTGCACAATCCCAGAACAGGTTCTCCACAGGCAAGCAGGTCTGCCACGCTCAGCATCTTCACAGGATTATCAGGACCACGGGGATATAGATTTCAAACTATGTTCAGTACAGTGGATCTCAACCCTGGCTGCTCAGTGGAATCAACTCAAGTTTTTACAAATGCTGATGTTTTGGTCCCACCTTAGACAAATGGGAACCAAATCTTTGCAGTCTGTATATAAACATTTCTAACATTCTCCTGGTGATTTCCAATATGCAGCCAGGGTTGGGAACTTCCTGGTTAATGAGTTCTTCTGTTACAATTTTTTGGAAGTCTGAAAACCATATTCTTATGACACCACAGTGACTCACTTCAGACCATGAGTGTTTASTATGTGCCAGACGCTGAGCATGTAAACATAAACAAGTCTCTTTTTTTACCCCCCATTGTAATGATCACATCTGTTTTACTTTGCTAGGTAAATTCAGGAGAGCAGGATCTGTATGAGTCAACTTCACAACTAGCAAGGCTCTCAACCCTGTCCAAAACTTAGGTTTCTTCCGGGTCATTATATAACACTCTCAGGAGACCTCAGATATTGCAATAAAAAGCCACAGAGAACAAAAATCATTTTTAAGAATTCCAAGGATGCTGGAGACAAGACCAACACACTCAGAAAGTAGATGCTCCTACACACCACCTACAGATCACTAAGAAATTCATCAGGAAAATCATTTCACTCAACAGTAGCAGCAGCCTCCTATATGTTTTTAACAGTTTCTGTATCAAAAGGTCATGTCAGGTGATGGGCCACATGCTATCGAGCCTTGCACAAGAACATTCTATGATGTTTGCATGATAAAATCAACTACTAACATGTTTCTCAGAATGGATTTCTCAGAATGTATTTCTGTAGTGAAATGACATGTGACTATACAGAGGTGTTCACCACAGTGAAGCTGGAAGCAGCCTTACAATCCATCCATTGCACATTGTTTAATCATAGCATTAATATACCCATGCAKYTGGGGCTGGGGTTGTGGCTCAGTGGTAGAGCAGTCGCCAGCACGGGTGAGGCCCTGGGTTCAATCCTCAGCACCCCATAAAAATAAACAAAATAAAGGTATTGTGTCCAACTAAAAATAAATTAATATTTTTTTAAAAAAACATATCCATGCAGCTACTAAAAATGAATGAGAAATCCAAAAGTCCAACCTAGAAAGAGTACCATGCTACTTTGTGAAGAGGAAAAAAAGGAGCACATAGAATAAAATCCAAACAACTAAAACCAAAACCAAAACCCAACACCAAGCCTATTTCTGGATATGCAGTGAAGAGTCTGGAAAGACACAYACCACTTATAAACTTACTTATCTGTGGAGACTTTGTTCTTTTTGTTTTTTTATTTTTTTTAATTTTAATTTTAATTTTTTTTAATATTTATTTTTTAGTTTTTGGCCGACACAACATCTTTGTATGTGGTGCTGAGGATTGAACCCGGGCCTCACACATGCCAGGCAAGCACGCTACCGCTTGAGCCACATCCCAGCCCTCTTGTTTTTTAATGTTTATTTTTTAGCTTTAGGTGGACATAATATCTTTATTTTATTTTTATGTGGTGCTGAGGATTGAACCCAGTGCCTCACATGTGCTAGGCAAACACTCTACCACTTGAGCCACAACCCCAGCCCAGGGACTTTGTTCTTTAGAGATGTCTGTATCATTTATTTTTTAAAACACCACTTTTGTTGACAACAATTCTTTTTTAAAAGGATAGTTCTCTGTCAACTGAGWAGTAATGAGTACACCCAGAGCCAGGGACCAGGCCTCCTCAGAGAAACACATATTCCAGGGCTGAGTAATAAGTGGGTACAGGATGAGCCTGGAACATCTTAAACGTCAGAAATGACAAAAGGACTGCAAAAAAACGAAAACACAGGAAGGAACTGAAGGGGCTCCCACTGTCCAGATCTGGGAGGATTTGAGGAAGCATGAGTGCTGGACTGGAAAAATATCCTTTGGCAATCATCATGGTAAAGGCTGAAGCAGGGGCTGGGATAAGGCTCAGCAGTAGAGTGAGTGCTTGATTATCATGCATGAAACTGAGAATCCCCAGCAAGGCACACACACAAAGAAGAAATAGATTGCCAGCACTGTTTGCCAAACATGGGGAGAAGTCTGGTGAGGAGCAGGATATTTATATCACCTTGTAACCACATCTCCAGAGATTGTCTATTAGTTGGAAGGGGGGAAATATAAACTATAACATGGAGAAGGTGAACAGTGCCTTGACCCAGTATACCAGGCATTACCTTATTGTGTCTTAGCTCACTTACCTTTTGTTGTCACACAGACGCTGGGACTTTGTAATCTACACTTCTCCTTTGCCACCTGGTCAACAGGAAGCACTGAAGGGATGGCGAGGCTGGAGGGAGATGGAAGACTTTTTGTTATCTCTGGTTTGGCATGGGTCCCAGCAGCATTCTCCATAGTGATGGTTCTCTGCTCCCATGGATCAGTGGTGGCACCTCCAGTGAGGAGGGCAGTGTGTCTGTGGCAGCTGCTCCTCAGAGGTCTCAGCCTTGGGAGAACTTCTGAGTTTCTAGTTTCCCTCATCATCTTCCTTTCCCTCAGTCCTAGGGGTGGTTATAATAGCCTAGATATTTTCTGCTAGGCTGTTTTCAAGCTCTTTTTGAAATTCCTTTTAGTAAATCACCTTTTACATAAACATTTATATTAAAAATTCCTGTTCATATTTAGACCAGGTGATCAAAATTAACATCACTGAGGAGGAAGGGGAGGGAGGCAGACCAACACTGTGGGCCTCCCAAGAGGAAGACACAGGCAGTGTTTCAGCCACCTGGAACACAAAAACCTAATCTAACTGTTTAAAAGAAGGGAGTGTATTCTTCCAGAATGTCATTGTCACAAGAGAAAAACCTATGGAAATGCTTCAGATTCAAGGAAAACAAAGAGACATATAACTAAACACAGTACCCAATCCTAGACTAGGTTCAGAACTGCAGGAGGGGAAATTCTCTCAGGGACATCATGAGGTCAACTAAATATGAACGGGAGATTATTTATCAGTGTTAAATGTCCTGAATTTAGTAACTGTATTGTGATTTTCAGAGATTATCTTTATTCTTAGGAAATTCCCACTGAACTACCAGGGTAATAGGCCACCATTTATGCCTATAAATGGTGAGAGCGATCGAGCACATTTAAGAACACAAATGACAAATGGGACAAAATGTCTCAAGTATATTTGGGTAAAGGGTATTTAGGCCTTATATAAACAATCCTTACTCTTGCAACTTTTCCTTGAGTTCCAAATAAAACTTAAGGAAATAGAATACAACAGTGGTTCTTAATCACAGCTGCAACCTGGAATGACCAGTTGGTCAGCAGCTTGGAACCCAAGTCCTAATTTTCAAAAGTTCCCCAGGTTCCCACTTATAGTTGCCTGCAGTTTTCATCTGTGTCTGTATATACAGAACAGGTGAGAACACTGGCACTACAGGAGACCCTATTCTTTAAACTTCAGACATGAGTAGTTCTTTTGCCCTCTGAAGAGTAAGCACCATGGAACAGGGTCTCAAGGTCTTGATGGCAGAATACTCTCCAGACATCAAGCAGGCAGATGAATCTGTAAGGCACTGGCCAACGTGGACAGATTTCCCCTCTAGTGGTTCCCAAACAAGGTAAAAAGGCTTACTTCCAGGACAACTGTGCCAGGAATTAAACACCATTTAAAGCTGGCAGGAGCTACAATGGTGTAACTGGCCCCAGAAGCACTCACCCSACTCCCATCTTTTTGGCTTTACTACCAATGTGGCTCATCTGGGTCCAACTGGCAGAACACACAGGAGGAAGCTGCTCTCTCAGCAGGTAAGCAGCAGACAGTGAGCAAAGGGAGAATAGGTGAGATCTGTTTCTCAGGCAATCAAGGAAGGGGCTACCTGACTTTGTTCCAAAGCAATTTCGTAGAGTTCAGTTCTGTAGTAYAAAATGAGGGCATCCAAAGTTACCTGGGACTCATGCTAGATTCCTCTCTTCCTTTCCCTTCTCTCTGTCCCACATCCAATCAATGCATATTTTGCCTTTTCCCCCATATACTGCCTGAGTCCATTCCCCACCACCTTCACCCACAGTACCTTACTTCACACTCTTAAACTATCTTCTGAACTATTACATCTACCTAACCATAGCCTGATCACATTCCCTTCAATGTACCCTTTAAACTGCAGCCATGGGGACCATCTAGGACAGGTCTGCTTGCATTACCACCATGTGAGCCACCACTGCCTATACGTCAAGTCTGACCTGCACAGGCTGTCTCGTAAGCCCCTAGAGGTCTGGGCTTTGTCCCATCTTCAAATTCTTTTCCAAGCTTTATATTTTAAGCTCTAGGAACAATGAGTTACTTCCAGCTCTCTATACTCAATCACATTTCATATCCTTATGTATCCTCCCACAAATCCTATCCAGTCTCCAGGCTTGTGCATCTMCTCAGGAAGTGGCCTCTGATCTCCAGGGACCTCCCTTGGGTTCCCATTCTTTTATTACAAGCATCATTATATTATGTGAAAATTACCTGCTCCTGTATATGTCTCCCATACTAGGGCTCCAACTCATTAAGGACAAGAAAAACATCGCTGTTGTACTCCCTGTGCCTTGCACATACCAGATGCTCCACTATTTGTAGAATACATCAGACTGAAAAGCATCCGTGGTTTTTTGAATACCAAGGATTTGGCAACAGATATAATGAAAACGCATGCAAATCATGACGAACTGTAGAACACCATATTATTATACTGCTGCTCTGGAACTGAAATATCCCCAAAATAATTAAAAACTACATGTTGAGGGCTGATACAGAGTTTATTGAATTAGATTTTTCTATTTACAACTGAGATCACATCTACATACTATTCTGCTAGTCTACATGGGTACATTATCTCTAACAAGTTTAAGACTTATGATGAATGGGCTCAATCATACAAAAACACACTCACACACTCATACTAATTGTTTTAAAACAGTAGTGCATACATTAAACTCCTCCTATAAAGCCAGCTTTGATTAAAAACCACTAGTTTCAAAGATCTGTCTCTGATTTTGAAGATGAACAAAGATACACACTGTATGATTCTAAAATCTATTTTAGCCATTTTGTACAGATGCTAGCTTATCAGACTACAGTATATGTTTTTTAAAAGGACWCTGATGAGGGGCACCATCTGGTGTTAACTTTAACCAGACAGTTGGCTTCCTCCCCCTCCCCCCAAAAACCTTTGGCCAAGAGTTCTCCACTATAAAGATTGAAAGGACCTGGTGACACTACAAYCATCAGTCCCATTACTGCCTGGAGGCAACAGAAGCAGGCCCACATCCTCCTTTAATTCTACCACACTATGCAACTTGTAAATGGTTCTGAAATTAGAACATTTACCACTGAACTTAAACACTTAGGGGCATGGAGAGTCAGCTGGAACAAGGGGAAAGTCATAGGTGGGTTGGTAAACAGGTRGGTACATGAAAAGCCAAGCTGCTCTGTCCAACACCAGTGTATGTGTGTGCTTTAACTAGATGAACTCAGGAGGCCAACTGCAGCAGAYTTGCTCAATTCACCTTCCAAATCAGAACAAGACTAAAAAAGCTCAGGCTTGAGTTGTCTATTATGCATAGGTTCCGCCAGTGATGAGGAGCTCATAAGCAGGATCTCTACTCCTTCTGCACAACACGATGCATGCACACAGCATGCCCAGCAGCTGTGGGAAGAAAACAATGGGGGAAAAGGCTGAAAATCCCTGTATGACAAGTATGTTCTTTATTGGCAATGGAGCTCTTTCAAATTTCAATGATCAATCACCAAAAAAAGCAATAAATAGTGAAAGAAAAAATTTGTTATAAATACATTATTTTTAATTGTCTAAGAACTAAGCTTCTGCCTTATACCCAGGAACTTCGAGCTGGCCGAGAGTCAAAACTCTTTTACTGCATCCTCATTATCACATTCTAGAGTAGCACTGTCCAAAGAACTTTGTACAGTGATGGAAACATTTTTTTAATATTTATTTATTTTTTTTTTTAGGTCGACACAATATCTTTAATTTTATGTGGTGCTAAGGATTGAACCCAGTGCYCCACACATACTAGGTGAGCACTCTACCACTTGCGCCACAACCCCAGCCCAAGTGATGGAAACCTTTTGTATGTTCTGTTAAATATGGCAGCCACTAGTCACATGTGCCTACTGAACACTTAAAATGTAGTTGGTACAATTGAAGAGTTGTATTTTAAATTTTTATTTCAACTAGTTTAGATCCTTATATCAAGTGGCTTCTATACTAGACAACAAAATATCAGAGTGGAATGATCAAGACCACACGTGTTTGGGGCTGGGGTTGTGGCTCAGCAGTAGAGCGCTTGCCTAATGTGGGAGGCCCTGGGTTCAATTCTCAGCACCACATAAAAATAAATAAATAAAGGTCTTAAAAAAAAAAAGACCACACATGTTTAATGGTACCTTTTCAGGCATCTTTTGGGGAACAGGCTTTAAAATAATCCACAGAATTCAGTACATGAATAGCCCTGTGGTAGAAAACCAATTCTGATGCCAAAAAACTAGTTTGGAGGTTTTCATTCCTTTCACATGTACTATTTTCAAAATCCAGGTTTGGGTCTGTGGTATTACATACATATTACTTTTTAAAGGTCATTCTTCCTTCACATTTTATTTTAATAAGTCTTAATCCTTATGTGGTAGCATATTGAAATAGTAATAAAGTTATGCATTTTATTTTGGATAAACAAGAGGATTAAACTGGATTAGAGAGAAAAAGACTTCTAAAATTTTTGACCCAGCTTCTCACAAAATATAAAGAGTAACCTAAGGGCTAAATAAAAGTTAATTTGCTGTTCTAACTCTTCATTGTACTTTTGAAAGGCAGCACTCTCTGTACATATGGGGGTCAATCTAATTTCAACGAAATGCACAAGGTCCATAAACAGACTATAAAAGTCTGAAGTGGAAGATTAGCTACTAATGAGACACATATATACAGAGAATAAGGATGTCCTCATTCTAAATTCTTGATAGTTTAAAGCCACACACTCTGATTATACCCTCACATTAGCCACTATTCTGCCCATTCAGGATGTGTACTTGCTGTTCAAATCCATCAGTTCCACTACATCAATATCTGCTGAGTGCTTCTAGTACAAAACACCTTAAAGACATTTTATAAGTGGATATTGTTGAAAGTTTACTAAGTATCTTAAGCCAATTCTAGACAATGTTTAGTGTCTAATTCCTAGAAAAATATATTGCTATTCATTGTATATAAAAACATTCTTAGAACAGCTATAAAATCAAACACAATTATGTTCCCAGGCAATGTTAAACTCAGAAATTACTGATATGCTGGGGGTGGGGTAAGGGAATCTCTCTTCCCACCCCCACTTCCTCAAGTTCCTTTTAGTTGGTTAATTTCTAGAGGAGTCAGCATTCTTGAAATGAAGTATGAAATAAGTTTCATTTCTTTCCTTTTATTTTAATGAAGTCAACTTGTATTGATGTAAAAACAAACTAAAAAGCATGATAAAACCCCACTCAAACTTGAGGAAGAATTTGTTTAAGAACATCAAGCTCTATACTATAACTTTTTTTAAAATATATTTTTAAATTGTAGATGGATACAATACATTTATTTTTTTAAAGTTATTGATGAATCTTTTATTTATTTATTTATACATACATACATACACAGTGCTGAGAATCGAATCCAGTACCTCACACATGCTAGGCAAGCACCCTACCACTGAGCTACAACTCCAGTCCCACCTTTATTTTATTTTTTAATTTATTCCCATGCAGTGCTGAGAATCGAACCCAGTGCCTCATACATGCCAGGCGAGCACTCTACCACTGGGCCACAATCCCAGCCCCTGTAACTTCTTATAATCACCATTAAATATTATAAAACCATTTCCAAAGCTTTGTTATACCGAAATTTCATTGATTATTGAGATTTTCCAACAATAGATTTGGGAATATTTTGGCTCCAGCGTCATATCCTACAATGAAACTTTTTCTCTGATATACAAATGATCAGAACTAATCCACCTCACTTAAATATACCATCAGCAACTGCAAGAAAATAATTACTAAATATAAACAAAAGTGCAATTAAAAAACCTGACTACTAAAGTAAAATGTTCTGTGATATTCTATGTAGTTAGTGGTATGGGAAATAGGGATTCTTATAGAAGAATTCTTTCACATCAGCAATATCCTTTTCTGAGAAAAATATGGAAATACATATCAAACTTCATGCATATATTCCAATCTCTGAGTTTGAGAACTATAAATTTTTGCTATAGATATAACTATGAACACACATCAAAGGATATTCACTACTGGCATTTTTATAATAGCAAGACTTTTATATAAGTCCATGAAAGTCCATTAGATAAAATATACCCATAAAATGAAATACTATGAAACCATGAAATAAAGTAGATTTATAATCCAAAAGATACTATTTAAAAAAAATTTTTTWAATTGTAGTTGAACACAATGCCTTTATTTATTTTTATGTGGTGCTGAGGATAGAACTCAGCACCTTGCATGTGTGGGGCAAGCGTTCTACCACTGAGCCACAATCCCAGCCCTAATTTTTTTTTTTTTTTTAAAGGAGCAAGGTACAAGCTATGACTCCATTTATATAACATTTTGAAATGATAACATTTTAGAAATTGTGGTTGGTCTCATYACTGGATGTCAGGTTATGGGAGGAGGAAAGTGGTACAGTTATAAAAGGATACCAGGAAGGAACCCTATGGTATTGGACCTGCTCAGTAACTTGATTGTACTGGAGGATACAGGAACCTACAGAGGTCATGAAATTGTATAGAGCTGAATACACACATACAAAATTGAGGAATCTGAGTAAGACTGGTAGACTGTATCAAAACCAATATCCTGGTTGTAGTATTATACTAYGGGTTTTGTAAAATGTTATTGCTGATGGAAAATGGGCAAAGCACACAAGATTATCCTTCTATATTATTTCTTACAACTGCATGTGAATCTATAATAATCTCAAAACAGAAAGCAAGGCACAAGACTGCATCCTATAAGCTATTTGCCTAAAAAATAATTGTGAACTTGTATAAGTACAAACTATTTCTAGAAATCTATGTGGGAAAAAGCAGTGGTTACCTCTATAGAGATGAACTCAAGAAGTCAGGTCAAAACTAAGAAGGCTTACCTTTGACCAAGTTTGTAGCATATCAAATGGGTATTTTTAATTTTAAAAAACTATCAAAATTTAAGAGATTTCCCTCAACTGTGGTAATATATACATAATAGAATATTACTGAGTCATAAAAAGAACAAAATCCTTTCATCTGTAGCAAAAATGGATGGAACTGGAGGACATAATGTTAGGTGAAATAAGCCAGGCACAGAAAAAGACAAGTACCACATGTTCTCACTTGTATGTGGAAGTTACAAAAGTTGATCTCATGGAGGAAGAAAGCAGAAAAGTGATTGACAGAAACAAGGAAAAGTGGGGGAGAGTAAAAGGATGGATACCAGATACCAAAATACAGTGAGGATGATTCTAGTTTACAACTTATGTTTTATAAAGAACTAGAAGAGAGGAGTTCATAGGCTCTAAACACAAAGAAATGATAAACATTTGAGGAAAATGTTAATTATTTTGATTGGATCTTATACACTGTATACATATACCAAATTATCAAACTGTTTTCCATATATATGTACATTCCTTATGCGTCAAGTTAAAAAAAAATTGGTTTTCCTCAACTTATAAAATAACCAGAACACTCAAATTAGCTTCTCATRCTGTAAAATTTTAAAGAAGAATGATATAGAATATTACTTTTTAAAAATATTTTTTAGTTATAGGTGGACACAATATCTTTATTTTGTTTATTTATTTTTATGTGGTGCTGAGGATTGAACCCAGTGCCTAACATGTGCGAGGCAGGCACTCTTCCACTGAACCCCAGCCCCAGCCTCTAGAATATTATTTTTTTTAAAAATGTCAGAATTAAGCTACTTAATCTTAACTTCTATCCAGGGAGGTCTGACCCCAAGTGTCATTTACTTATGTATTTTACTAATTTTAATGAATAACTAACTGGTAATCAAAAAAGAGAAGGAAAGAACAGTCCCAACCTCCTTCACACTTGGCAGACAGACCAGAAARAAGTTACATGGTTGCAAGAAATAGTCCTCTGTAAAAATATGCTCTTGATCACTCCATTTTGATCAACTGTCAGACTTCAAAGGCTGACAATTCCATAAATTATCAGGATTCATAAAAATTTAGAAATTTGATCTTCTGAGAATTTTAATTCTTAGATTTGTACCTGGACAGAGTATAAATGGAACCACAATTCAAGCTTTAGTTTKTCATTACCTGTGTGATGGTAATAGATCATGTTATCCTTGCTTCCTCTAATTTTTATGGCAAAACAAAGGGGTCAAGGACTGTGGACTCTCTAAGTGCTTTTTCTTGCTGTACAATTCTATATAAAAAATTGGTGCCCAAGCATAAAAGCTGATATTTGAGTTTGTTATGGTTTTCCAAACCCAGGATACCAATCTACACCAATTTTGAATACCAAAATATTAGAATATTTACAAATACTCAAAAACAACCAACCAGCCTCTCTGCCTGCCCCCCCCCCAAAACTAGAGAAAATTCTTTTAATATTTCAAATGAATGATTTTTTTTTAAGGGGGAAAAAAAACAAAGTTTTTATCTGTGAAAGCTCTGAATCCCTGACTTAGAATCCCTGAGTTCAAAATAACAAACTATTACCAGGTATTACTTAAGTTAGTGTTATTTAAATAYAAAACATATATGCTAGACATACTTAAATTTAGAAATGAGTTAAAATATTTGTTTCCACTGAAAAACACTTAATGAAGAAATATCTGCCTGGCTAATAAATTTAACTAGATGAGGGGCATGGATAAAGTGACACTTTTTATCCATTTTTTACATATATATTGCATACTGCACAAACATAAGCACCATATAGTCCCAAAGCTTTTTTTAACAGCCTTACCAAATAGAAAATCATTAAGAATGCACAGACCAGAATTCCACTTGGGAAAAGGCACCTCCCACCTATGTCATTATTTTTATCTAAATTAATGTTTTTGCATAGATAATCAAAATATCAAATATATTCTACTGATTACAATATTACTCCTATGCTGAACCACAAAGTGAATGCTCAAAAGGCAGAGACCATAGTAAATATAGAGCTAGGGTTTTTAATAAATCATTTCAGAGCTGTTGAATATAGCCAAGTAAACAATCACCCTTTTGCCAATTAAAAGGTACTTTCCATTACATATACTAGCTAGCTTCTGTTCAAATACACAAAGGTAGGAAACCTAAGCTATTTACATTTAAAATGACAATTACAATTAACTTAATAATAAAGAGATATCTACACTTTCTAAAAATATATTCTCTGGACCCTAAAATTATTTCAAGAATTAAAAAATAGAACTCTGAGAACCAGATCTGATATAAAGAATTTTTTTAATCCTGTTCAAATAGTTGGCTATTTTCAGTTGTAAGAATCTTCTAAGACATTCCTCTAAGGGAAACYATAAGATACATTGTATATTCTTAAGAAAACAGGAATGTTTTCTTTGTTTTTATGTGGAAGGGATAAACATGTGGGGTTTTATTGGGGGGTGGTGGGAGCAGATAAAGTGAGAGGTGATCAAGCAATTACCAGCTACTTTGCCTAAATATTATTTCACAGAAGTTGCCCCCTCAGCTATCAACAATGGAATAGCACAATTCTATATGTGCCAAGTGATACTACAAATTTCTGGATGGTTGTTAGTCTATAAAAATTAAGCCCTTGAAACTAAAACCTCAAGAACAGGAAAATAAAAACTAGAAGGAAAAATAGAATACAAAAGATTGGAATATAGCTTTCCATTTTCAAATTGAAATAAAGCAATGATTTTTAAAAATTCTACAAAGTTCTATTAAATATTTCCCAGGAATACACTATGACAACTGTTTTTATCCTCAATAGATAACTCACTAATAAAGGCAAGAAAATAGRGCAAAGTTCCTTTACATGTAATCCTTTGCCAACAGATCTCTGGTTTCTTTAGACCATTCTGGTCTTATGTCTAGAAATAAAAAAAAAGGTTGCAAACTTGTGGCTGGTACTGCAATCACTTCTAGGTTACCTATATACACAGATTCACTCTACTTAGGAATTATAACCACACAGGGGTTACACAGGGCTGACCCTGGTAACAACTCATGTTCTCCTCTGCTTACCTGAATAGCTGCAAAGGCCAGTGCTGCCCAGATAACATGCATCATGATTTCTTGTAGCTTCTTCACAACTAGAGCCTCACATCCCTGTAATATACACAGTCATTCTCATTAGGAATCTTTTTAAAAACGAGAGTTGCAGAGTCACAGATTACTACTGCTACTCACTGGMAGAAATGAAAGAAACTAAAGAGGGAAAAAACATTACATGAATAGAGCAACTTATAAACACAAAATTAAAACAAAAGATAATACATTAAAAATGATTTACTATAAAACAAAATGATATTAAAGAAAGCAAAAAGGGAATAGAAAAGAAGTTTCAGGTAGTGTAAGGCAGTAGAAAAGAGGTTATCAGGCTGGACTCTAGTCCTGGACTCACCTCAGCATAGAGGTCAGAGGGATTGGCCAGGCTGCCATTGCAGCTACTAGCAGTCTCTCTGCAGCAGCTAAGAGGGACACTCTGGTTTTTGGTTTCTTTGAACCAATCTGTATTTTCCCAGTCTGAGTAGTTATGAATTCCACAACAGTGCAACTAGAAGAAAAGAGAATAGATAGTACTCCTTACAATACACATATACCAGGGTTGAGCTTTAAGACTTTCATGCACTATGGAGCTTTAAAATAAACTATTCTAGGCCATTGATGTCCAGGAGAATTTTTGCAACATGAGAAATGTTATGGCTGCATAGTCCAACACGGTTATACTAGCCACGAAGCTTAAAGCACTTAAATGTGGCTAGAGTGACTGAAGAACTAAAAACTATTTAATTATTTKTACATGCTGCTGGGGATTAAACCCTGGGCATTGAATATGCTAGGCAAGTGCTSTATCACTGAGCTACGTCCTCAGCCTCATGAACTGAATGTTTAATTTGGCATGCTAGTCACACATGACTAGTAGCCCCAAAACCTCCACATGAAAAGCACATTGTCTAAAAAGGTAGTATCTAGCTAAGGAAAAATCTTCTTCTTACACATTAAATATCTGGTTCTAAATATTATTTTCAAAAACAAAGTGTCCAAGAACAAGGTAGATCTATCTTCTAAGATTGTTTTTTCTTTCTTTAGCATGTTGTAGTTTTCATTGTAGTGGTCTTTCACCTCTTTTGTTAAGTTTATTCCCAAGTATTTTATTTATTTAAAAAAATATATCTTAAAAAAAATAAAATAAAAAAATATATCTTTATTTACTTATTTTTATGTGGTGCTGAGGATCGAACCCAGTGCCTCACGTGTGTGAGGTAAGTGCTCTGCCACTGAACCACAACCCCAGCCCCCCCAAGAATTTTATTTTTTGAGGCTATTGTAAATGGGGTGGTTTTCCTAGTTTCTCTTTTAGTGGATTTGTTATTGTTGTACAGAAATGCCTTTGATTTATGGGTGTTATCCAGCTACTTTGCTGAATTCATTTATTCCAGATTTCGGGTGGAATGTTTTGGGTCTTCTAGGTATAGAATCATATCGTCTGCAAATTATGATAATTTGAGTTCTTCTTTTCCTACCCATATCCCTTTAATTTCTTACTTCTGATTGCTCACCACTATGATAAGTAGAAGTGGTGACAGAGGGCATCCCTGTCTTGTTCCAGTTTTTAGAGGAAATGCCTTCAATTTTTCTCCATTTAGAATGATGTTGGCCTGGGGTTTAGCATAGCCTTTATAATGTTGAGGTATGTTCCTGTTGTCCCTAGATTTTCTAGTGTTTTGAACATGAAGGGATGTTGTAGTTTTATCAAATGCTTTTTCAGCATCTATTGAGATGATCATATGATTTTTATCTTTGAGTGTACTGATGTGATGAATTACATTTATTGATTTCTGTATGTTGGACCAACCTTGCATTCTTGGGATGAACCCTACTTGATTATGATGCACTATCTTTTTGATATGTTTTTGTATTTGATTTACCAGAATTTTTGAGAATTCTGAGAATTGAGAATTTTTGCATCTACATTCATTAGAGATGTTGGTCTGAAGGTTTTTCTCTTTGAT